CCTCCAGCCCCAGCCTTTGTTCCTGGTCTGGGCTGCAGCCAGGGCCTCACCTTGGCCATGCTGAGCCACCCCAGCTGTCCAGACTCAGTGCCCAGGCCAGGTGACCACCAGGCATTCTGCTGCTCAGGCTCCCTGGGTGCCTCTCAGGTGTGGACAGGTGGTTTTGAAGGTCGAGTTTACTGTATTGTTCTTTGTGCTGTCACATGCGAGCTTGCTGGGGAAGTCTGGGTAGAGTGAAGGCAATGAGGAAGGAAGGAACTGCTGGGCCCTGGGGCAGCTTGTGCTGAGAACATGGACACATGGAGGAGATACATGCTCCATGACCTCGGCAACAGAACAGATAGGGAGAAGCTGCACTCTGTCAATGTGGGCAGGAGGAGGGGGGAAACGGGGCTAGAAGGCAGGGACCCTGAGGAGCAGCCGGACACGGTCCCTTCACTCTAGGAACTCACAAAGGGCAGCTGAATAGGCATTACAATGGCAATAATCGGATGGCGGCAATTGGTCTTGCCTCGGTGGCTCTGTGTGTCTGTGTGTGAAGCGCTGCAGCCAGGGAAACCGGGGGAGGCTGCTGGAAGCCTGGTAGCTATGGACCTCTTATCTTTATTAATGCCCTGTGAGGCATGGTCACACTGCCCCCTTCTTGATAGAGCAAGTAAACAGGAGCGTTGCAAACACGGGAGGCTGCCAGGGGCGCCCAGCGCTCACCTGGGTGGTCACAGAGAGGTCAGCTGGGCTCTGCGGAGGAGGGCTGCTCTTGGCTTGCTCCGTGAACTCGCTACCTGTGGCAGTTAAATAAGTTGATAAACTGCCAGCTCCCACTACGGAGCGCTCCTGCCTTCGAGATGGCAGATGTGGAGCAACACCCAGGTGGGCACATGCCCCTCTGTGGCCTGCCAGCCCGGAGAGCTGCACAAGTTCCCTCAGTTGCAAAGCAGGTAGCAATTGTTGCTCTGCTTTCCTGGCCTGGTGCTGCTCACGTTCAGCAAAGAGTCAGTGACTCCAAAGCTATGGCATGGGGTGGCCTTTCTCCTGCTGTGTAGGACCAGGCATTTTGAATTTTGATTTTTTTTATTTAATTGGAATATCTGAGCCTATAGGGAGGGACCCAAGTGTGGGCATGAAATTCACCTGCTTCCTGCATTCCTGTCCACAGTTTTGGGTCACTTTCCCAGGTTTTACACCTCGGCATTTCCTCTGCCACGCCTCACACAGGAGGTCAGGTGTGGAATTTCCCACTTACTGGCATTCAAGAGGTTTGGGGTTTTCAGGTTTTCCTTCAGACCACAGGTGTTTAACCTATGCCCACACACAAGCCTAAGGACTCATAGGCCCCTCAGTCACAGAGAGAGCTCCAGCTGGGTGGACTGACTCAGCCCTCCAGCATCAGAGGCAGACATTGCCCAGGGCAGTGGGTGCTGGATTCCCACAGGGACTTGGGGGTGCCAGTCACCTCAGCAGCCTTGGTAGCTGTAACTAAGTTGCCTCTTGCTCTGCCCTCCTTTGCAAATGGGAAGGAAACAGCTTTGCCCTGCTGTGTGTAGTGGGTTTTTCTTCTCTGTAAGTCAGCTCATGAGGTGTTTGGGCAGCCATGGTCGCTGGTGAGTTAGAGGAAGTGGAGCTGTGGACATCAAAGTTTCTGCCAGCCAGCGGGCCCCTGGTTGCTGGTGGCATGGCCACTGTCCCCTCTGATGCATGGGAGGTCCAGGGTCAGGCGGAGGGCGCCCATGCTGTCTCATCTCAGCTTTGCACTTTCTTTTTTTGGTCTTTTTCGTTTTTATCGGTACCAGGGATCGAACTCATGACTGCCTGCTTGCAAGGCAGGTGCTCATGCTGCTGAGCTAAATCCCCAGCCCCTCAGCTTTGCACTTTCAAACACAACGTTTTTCTCTGCCACCCCTGTTGCAGCTTCCTCGTGCCTCAGCTTCCCCTTCTCTCCTAGAGTTTCATTTTCCTTGTTTGAGGAATGAAGAAGCAGATTTTTTTTCTTTTTAATTAACTTGTCCTCTTTTCAAATAAATTATAATGCAGGAACCCCAATCTATAAAACCCACAAAAGAGATATTTTATTAGTTTAATAACTAGTGAGTATTCTAGTTCTTAGTATATAACATTTACTCAACATAACTCAAAAATAATGTAGTGATTTTTGTGGTTGACATCTAAACGCAGCTTTTATTGTATGAAAAGTAAAGCTGAGGGTCTTAACTGATGGCAGGCGGCATCTAATCCTGTCAATGTCATACAAATTTTAAAATGAATTCTTGAAAAAAATTGTGTCAGTTGCATAGTCTGCTTCAGTGACCAAGCAAGGACAGCAAAACTGTGTCTGCGGCCAGATGGTCACCGGCTGAGTCCCGGAACCCCAGCCCCGTGCCCTGGGAGTGCTCTTCATAGTTCTAGAATTTCTAGAATATAGAAGAGAGGGGAATATTCAAAACAGTCCTGAGGGCAGGGCTCCAGTAGTAGAGCACTTGCCTGGCACGCAGAAAGCCCCACAGCTCAAAAGGAAAAAAAACAAAACCCAGACAAATGTTTCCTGGCTGCTGTGACACATGAGGGCAGCAAGGTCAGCAGAAAAGTCTTAAAGTCTTGAGCTGAGCTGTCCTCAGCAGCTGGCGCGGACCAGGGCAGGGGGAGCAGTGAGGCCCAGGCTGCTGCCCTTTAACCCTTTGCTTTCCAGCCCATGATGGAACCTTCCCGAGTGGATCCCTTTCCGATGTGGTTCCCATCTGCAAAATATCACTGTGAACAGATTCCGTCCTCTGACAGCTTCCCCAGACTTGTGTGCACCCTCACGCCAGCAGGCAGAAGACATTTTATCAAATGCCAGGTGTGGGTTCTCTCACCCAGGGATGCCCCAAGGGGTGTGGTTTGGAATTGCTCCTACTTTACTTGCTGCCTGGCAGTGCCTACTTGGTTGTTCTCTGGTTTGCAGTGACACTGCTGTCATTTTGATGCAGCGAGCAGGGTTGTCAGAAATACAGAGAGACAGACAGGCATTTTCCACCTGGCAAGTGGGCTCTGTCACTGCCCTCCCCCTCTGCCCCATGGACTCTGAGACGGCTGGAGTCCAGGTGCTTGTGGCCCTGTCCCAGGCAGCAGCCACTGGCCACATCCAGTCCTCACTTACACCATGGCCTGAGTGACAGAGCTGGACAGAGGGCCCATGTCTTCTGCAGAGAGACTCTGAGCTGAAACCTCCTACTGTTCCCTCCAAGCTGGGTCCTCAGGCATCTCCAGCTCTGGGGCATCCTGACTGCTGCCTCAGCCTGGCATTGCTGTGGGTCTAGGACCTCCCACACCCAGCTCATCCACTGTCACCCAGGCCCTCCACTGCCCAGACCCTGCTGAGAAAGCTCAGGACAGGCAGCTGACCCAGACCTCTAGTCCTCAGTCCATCTCCAAAGGCGCAGCATGAAATTTTCAAGAGCAACAGTGTGCCTTAAACGTAGGATGAATTACTGAAGCACTAAGTAAACCTGCCTGTACACATGGGGAGACAATTCTTGGGATCACTCTGGTCACCAGGGCACAATCTCCTCTGGTCACCCTTGAGAGTCCCAGCCTTGGCTCTGGCCATCTCCCCACCTTCAGAGGCTCTGTAGGGCTTCCCAAATGTGCTGTCCCTGTCTCTACCCTGGGTGTCTCCAGGGATCTCCTTTACCACGCCTTTCTCAGAGCTCCATGGTCACCCCAGGCTGAGGATCCCCAGGAGTCAGAGAAACCAGAAAATCCAGGGCCTTCCTGTTTGAACGTCACCCTTGGTCCCTCCTGCTGGCACACAAGGCTCCTGTTTTCTGTGTGCCCTTCTGTCCCCAGGCATATCTGGGGCACCAAGGCAAACGCTGGCATTTCAGTTGGTGAGAATTTCAAAGGCTCCCTGGCCTCCTGAGTCCCTCCCCCACTGCAAGGAAGAGAACGACTGCTTTGTCCTTCTGGGGCCACCGCTCTCAGCATACCTTGCTCAGCCTGCGCCCTATAAAGGCTTATCTCCTTACCGCTGGTAGGAGACATTCTAATTCCTTCCTGTTTGCGGATCATCGCTCCTCAATGCTTGCACTCAGGCCTTCCTGGGGCACCAGGTAACGTCACCATCACCAGGAGTGCTGGCGCCCATCTGTCACCTGATGTACTATCTTTACGGCTGCATCAGGCTGGCACTCTGTGGGTGCAGACCTATCTCTGTTTTCCCTACCCTCCCTCCTACTCCTCTCCGGAGTGGACTCTGGGTTCTTTAGTCTGAGTCCCCTCCATCTCCTTCACCCATTGGCCACCTCTCTCCCCTACCATTTACCTCTCAGAGTGGATTTGTGCTAATTGTTGCCTTAGAATTGTGCACCCGCCCTGAACTGTCCTGGAGACCCATGGGTGTTAGGAATCAGGAAGACACTGGCTCAAGCTAAGACCACCACCTGATCACCCCAAAGGTTTCATGCAGGGTGGCCTCAGGAAGGGACCCATACATATAAATAAATTTGGTAATGAACTGAACGGGAAGGTTTCCATTACTGAGCTTGCAGCAGAGTCCAGTGATCTGTGAGCAGTGTTCCCAGGGTCATCATTCCTTCCAAGCCCAGCCCTGGGCAGTCTGAGCATGGCCCCTTTGTGGGGGTTAATACAGGAAAGGGGAGCTGGGTATGCCCTGGGGAGGGACTGGGGTTCAGGAATGGGGCTTTTATGTTGGGGGAATGGGGCAGGGAAAGTTAGGATGGTGGTCTTGGAAGATGAGAAGCATGGCCAGCCAGGCATCTGCAGAAAAGAGCTTCTAGGGGCCGGGGAGAGGGCAGGGAGCTCTGCAGGTGGCTGTGTCCTGCCAAACATCTGGTTTACAGCCAGCACAGCCCAGAGACTAAGGGACCCAGAGCTGAGGGGACCAACTGACCTGTTAGCTGTCCTCCCATACCCCACCCATTCACAGTCCAAACTTCCTGCAAATTCCCCTTGTGACCAAACACAGCCCCACCTGGGCAGTGTTCTGATCAGAGCTTTCCCTGGCAGCCATGTCACATAGCACAGCCTGGCACGGCTGCCCCAGACCATGGAGTTGGTGGAGAGTGGAGCCACAGCCAAGGGGACCAGCAGCTGAGTGACATCCTGGCCTATGGTTGCAGTATGGCAGGGGGGGTGGCAGACGGACTGGGTGTGAGAGGACAGAAAGGAGCATGGCTCAGGTCAGCTGGTGGTGGCACTGATGGTGGGGGCAGAAGGTCTGGGAGTGGGCATGCATGGCCTTGGTGGTGAGGCTGGTCAGAGCTCTTCCGGGGCCAGGGAAGGGAGGGTTTGCTGGGACAGCTCCCCAAGCAGCTCACACCTCTGCTTCTGCTCTTGCCCTTGGTTCCCACGTCTGAGCCCGGCACCCCCTCCACATTGCTGTGCAGACTGGAACCCACGGGTGGCAGTTGGAGTCACCCTCCATTCACTCCTTCCAGGATTGTTACAATGATGAGGTCACTGTCTTTCTCAAGACACACAGCTGGCCCCTGGCGAGGTCAGGCTCAACTCCATGCATCCCGAGGCAAAGTCTGTGGTCTGCAAGGTGAAGGGTGACAACCACTGCTGCTGTGTCTGCTGTATCTGGATGCTACGGTGGTCACCCCACTGTGGAGCAGGAGCTCAGAGCTGCTTTTTGATACTGTGGGACTCTGCGCTTTCTACAGTGTCAGCTGCAGTGGTCAGTGTGATCGATGAGTGACGAGGCTTTCCTGTGACCAGATGAGCCCCAGGTAAGTGATCAAGCCTGGCCTGGTCTGGGGCCCAGGGTCCTAGCTACCCCAGCTCTTCGGCCCTGAGCAAGGATCAAACCAAAGTCAGAGCGACAGAGCAGCAGGGACCAAGAAGAGACAGGGCATAGCCTACATGCTAGAGGTGAGTGGTCGCCTGTGCCTGGACAGTGGCAGGGAGGTGATCACACTGCGAAGCTGTGGCATTCCTCTCCTCTGGAACATTCTGGAACATTCTGTCTGGGCATACTGTGTCCTCTGGTTTACTGACCCCTGCTAAAACACTTCCTACCAGATACTGGAGCCAGCCAGAGATTTTGTAAATAGAGAAGACTGGACAGAGATGAGACCAAGTTCTGAAGTGAGATCCTGAAGTGAGAGGGCAGCTGAGGCCTTTAGAATTCCTCTTTCCTTCAGTGGTAAAGATGCTCAGCTCAGGCACCAGGGTCACTGCATGTAGGGAATGCAGAGGCTCAGGAACTGGCTTGGCAGATTGGTGGAAGTCATTGCAGTGCTGCTGGAGGCTGCAGAGCGAGGTCCCCTGAATATAAATACACCTTCACTTTACTTTCTTTCACATTCCCCCAGGGAAACTTCTGGCTGGGGAAGAAGTTGGGCATAGGACATGGAAAGAAGGCACTGGGGCTGAGGGTGGTGTCAGATGCAAGCTGTTCTTCACAGAGGAAGTAGATTCTTAGAAGCACTTGGAGTCCGTGATATGTTCAAAAAAAAAAGGAAAGGAAAGGAAAAAGCTTCGCCTAGGAAAACAGCATTGGTGAAACATCTGCTGAGCACAGAGGACTCTGTGTCCCTGGTAGAGGAGGGGGCAAGGAGGTCTGTAAACAAGACCTGAGCAGGTGTGCCCTACACAGCCCGTGCTGCTCCTCGTCCTGACCCACACCACCCACATGTTAAATGAGGACAAAGCAGCCACGTGGCCATGGCAGCTGCTGCCTTGTGAGGGTGAGGTGCCCATCAGATTACCAAGCATGGCATAGTGACCTTGCTCTACAGATGAACAGGGTGGGGGGATCGTAATTAGAGCTTCCTACAGGGGAGAGAACAGGACCCACAAGGGCAAGGCTCTGCTTGCAGGCAGGTGCACCTCATAGACTGCACCCCCAGGAAGTTCATTACCAAGTGCCATCTGCCTCCAAAATCCCTATGCACACCAGTGAGCATGTCCAAGACTGTAACTGTGCTCCATCTAGTGTCCCCTTTGGTGCAGTAGCACTTCTACTGGGCCAGGCTTGGGACATGTCACCTGTGACAAGACACCTGCTCTTCTCCGGAGCAGATGATAGAAATGTTGGTTTTCACTCACTGGGACAAAAAATCCAACAGTTAGGACTTAAAGGAGAAGATGCTTATTTGGGCTTATGGTTTTAAAGAGTTCAATTTACAATGACTGGCTTTAAGTCATACAGAGCATAGTAGTGCAAGGATATGGTTTAGGAAAACTGTTGAACCCGTGAAGTCAGGAAGCAGAGAGTCCAGGGACAAGTGGGGGACTCAAATACACCCTTTTAGGCCTCACTATCAGTGACCCACCTCTTCAGATTTGTCCCTGCCTCCTAACAGCACACTCAGTTATAAACTCATCAGTAGAGGAATCAATCCATGATCCAATTACCTTCCAAAAGCTTCGCTCTGAACATATGAGACTTTTTGTGGAAACTTTACATTTAAACCGTAACATTTCATTCCTGGCTCCCAAAAGCTCATACCTACCTTAGGATAGAAGATTCACTTAGTCTATCTCTATGAGCCGCCAAGGTCTCAACTGTTCCAGGACTGGTGAAAAGTTTGAGTCCAAATTCCCCTTTGAGACTCAAGGCAAACTCTTAGTTGCGAAGCTCCGTAAAAATCAAAAAGAAAGTTAAATGTTTCAACATATAAGGGTAAAGGATAAATACTTCTATTTTTAAAGCTACAAATAGGTGAATAGAAAGGAATTAAACCAAAGCAAGATTGAAAATCAACAACGAAAATATTAAATCCTGTAGCTATAAGTCAGTACATGGGGGAAATTATGGTAAAACAACAACTCCAAGAGGATAACCAGTCCCAACCCTATGTTGCAGCCCACAGGGTCTCTCTGTAGACACTCCATGTATCTGTCATTAGCTGTTGCTTCTTCTTCTTCTTCTTCTTCTTCTTCTTCTTCTTCTTCTTCTTCTTCTTCTTCTTCTTCCACCTCCTCCTCCTCCTCCTCTTCTTCCAGGAATCGAACTCATGACCTCACACTTGCTGGGCAGGCTCTGCGTTGCTGAGCTATACTGCTGGCCCATTTTTAGTTTCCAAGGATTTCTATTGTGCTCTTGGCTTCACTTTCACAGATTTATGCACTGTGCTTTCAAGGTCACATTGCTTGGTCTCCCAGGCCTACCTCTGACATCTGGGAGGGAGACTTCATGACCTCACAACTCTTGCATTCTACATGCCTGGAAAACAAAGACCATGAGGATGATGTTAATGTCTGCCCTTGTTTCAGGCAGTGGCTGAAGCTCTTGGTCTATAGTTGCAGTAACAAGTGAATTCCTAGAAGATTGAACTTTTGAAAATATTTCTCTAGGTAGCCCTGGATTAGAAAAGCTTCTTGGGGGCTCTTTTCTCAAAGCAAAATCTTTTTTTTTTTTTTTTTTTTTTTTGTATCAGGGATCTAACTCATGACCTAGAGCCTGCCAGGTAGGCACTTATGCTGCTGCTAAATCCCTGGTTAAAGAAAAGTATTTTAAAGATATTTACCCCTTTAAAACTTTGATCTTATAAGGTGGGGAATAGCCAATTCCTCAGAAGCCCGGAAAGCATCTTTCTTATTGTGAAGCACTTGGCTTTATTTTAATGAAATTTATGTCTTTAACACCCTCCTCAACCCAAATTTATAGTTTTTCCTTTCTAGCAAAAGTTTTTAATCATTTGATTCTATTTTATCTTCTGATTGTCACTGTAAATCTGTTTAAAATGAGCCAGCAATACTCTTGTCATCTCTAAAACATTGAGCTCCTTTGAAATGTCTGCCACCACATTAATTAATTTGCCATCTTTAAATTCAACCTCACATAAAGTCTTAGGGCATGGACAAAATGTCGACAAATTCTTTGCCAGAATAAACATCCACAGCCTCTTGTCCAGTTTCCAATAGAGTCTGTTCCTACCTGAAACCTCCTGAGTCTGGCCTTTATTGTCTGCATTCCTATCAGCATTCTGAGCTTCTGAGCTCTGACCAGAATCACCCATCAGACTCTCCTTTCACCATTCTAGGCTTTGTAGCCTGCATGTCCAAATCTTCCCAAACTTCCCACACACCAGTTTTAAATCATCTAATGAGTTCTAAATCTATTCTAAATATGAATCATGTAGTTAGATATAGTCACAGCAAGAACTAACTTTCCATATTAGTCACTTTTCCATCAATGGTACAGATGCCTAACAACCACAACACAACAAAGAAGTTTATTTTGGCTCATGATTTCAAAGGGTTCAACACAGTTTTGGCTGGCTGTAAGGCAGAAAGGGCATAAGGGAAAGATGCTCAACTCATAGCCAAGCAACAGTGAGGAAAGAAAGCACCCAGGGACAAAAATACATTCTTGCAGGTCACACTCTAATGACTTGCCTCTTCCAATTAAACCCCAACTCCTAACAGTATATTCAGGCAGAAATTCGTCAATGAACAATGCCGTCAATGAATGCAGCCCGCTGTGATCCAGTCACTTTCCAAAAGTCCCACTGGTGAACACATGAGACTTAGGAGAGACATTTTAGATCACTGTCAAAACATGACCTCCCTTGGGATATTTCATGGCTCTCTATGACACCCCAGTTCAGTGACCATCAGCAGCACCACTGTCCCCAGAGTAGCTAGGCAAAGAATGGCTGAGGTCATTTACTCATGTTAGACTACCACTCAGCTCCTGTGGTGTCTTCACAATGCAGTTCTCACCTCTGGGAGTTTTTCCTGGAAAGTGACCACACCTGCTTCACGGAGTGTTTGTCAGCATTAAGAATTAAATGCACACTTTGTAGAGGAGTGCTTGGCACCAATGAGAGTTCAATTGTTATTAGCAATAATTAATAACATAGCCTAGTAAATATTCTTTCTATTAATATCTCTACTCTTCCTGAATACATTTTCCATAGGCACTGAGGTCACTATTTTATCTCCCACACCTTATCTAAGTCAGTGCTTAAGGCTTTCCTAACAATGACCTTGCTCAATGATCGGTTGTGGTACCAGCATTCATCAGAGGTTGCTCCTGTAACACACTTGGCAACTAATTAGCCAGTACCACCTCTAATACTGGGCCAAGGTTCCTCAGCACTCTCCTGGGCAGAGCACAGTCCATCAATCCTGTGCCACTTCTCAAGGACAGGTGTCAGGACTCTGGTCTTCCCTCTGCTGCTTGGTCCTGAAGGAGATGCCAGTCCCACAGCCTGAGCTGTTGGGTCAGGGATGGAATACTCACTGCCTGGGAATCCATGTTTCCTGGATGACTGTGTTCTATCTTTTCATTTTTTAAAAATCTGCAATGTTCCAGTTCGATGAAAACAAGTCCCCTCCCCAATCTGGAAAGCTCTTAACCTGATAAGGTGATTTAACACTAACAGCCTTTTAAGACTGAGAAGCATGGTGTGCATTGAACTGAGATGCTTGTCCTCCTTTCCGAAAACAAGACCATCCTTCTGCCCAGCTTCATTCAATCTGATTACAATCGCAGAAACATGTCAGTATGAGCTGATACCGAGGAGACAGCATGATCGGCATGTCAGCCTGACCTGCATTGTCTGCCCCAAGTGGCCGTTTAATTACTGATTATCTCAAAGGATGGTTTAGATAATTTGGCCTCAAAAGTAGGGGAATCATTTCTGTCTTATCTCTCTCCTTAGTGTGTACTGGAATATATTTTGAATGTGTGTTTAGCTGAGTGCACTGCCCCCTTTTGAAGATGAAGGCCATGTTCTAGATCAGCCTCTCAGGACAGAGGGATACAGGTGACCTTGGTCCTCATGGGGTCATCTTCTGTCTTCTACACAAGCCTGAGGCTGAGGGGTCAGGGGTCAGATGGCACCCAGGTTACTAATGTGTCCATGCACCTGTATGAAGAGCAGATGACACCACTTCTTATGTCAAAGCTGATACCATTGTTTAAGTTGGATGCTTTCCATGTCCTAGCATCCCAGAGAAGACATTTCCTTCCCTGAAGGGTTTTCAGACTGGGCACACCTCTGCCAGGGTGTGGACCCCTGGATGCCTCCATGCAACAGTGAAGCCAGGTACATTCTGTCCTGTACTGTGTCTGTGGCATGTGTCTGACTTGTGAACTGCTTCTCAGTGGTGGGAACCCCAAGTGTTCCATCTTTATTCCTTTGGGAGCCAAGTGCCCTAGCAGGTACCCACGATATGTAAGAGTATGCACACCCAGCTGGTTCCCCAGGATAAGCCCAAGCCACTCCTCCAACCTGGCCACTCAGTGGATCTTCTTGGGGTTCCAAGCATCTGTCCTTTGCTCCTGTGCCAAGATGATCCTTTGAGTTGGTCAACTTTCTCTTCCTCCTCTTTTGGGGATAGGAAGCTGACAGTGAAATTTGTGTTTCTTCCATGTGCTCTGATGTTAAGCAGATCAAATGGATAAAATCTTTAAAGGTCTTTGATGGAGCCCCAGGGAGGTCTAGGGGTGGGGTGCTGAGGTAGCACTTCCTATCAGTTTCAGACATGCCCAACAGCCACTCTCCGAGGGCACATGCTCAGCTCCCAAGAAAAGGCTCTGTTCTTCATGTGCTGCTCTGCAAATCTCTGTTCCTTTATAAGCCAGCTTTCAAAGACATCCCCTATCTGTGTGGTTTCACCACTCTGAGACAAAAGAGTGCTGTGCTCTGTTCTCCACTCACATGAGCAGCTCACATTCCGAGGAAGAGGGTGGTGGCTAGTGGAGCCTGTACCTGCAGGACACATTGGAGGCAGGAGCAGAGGCAAAGCTGGGGGCTGGGCTTGCAGACCTGGCTCCAGGGAAGGTGAGGTGGCTCCTACTCTCCAGCAGCCACACCAGCCCACACCACTCACTGCTGGGCTGGGGTAGAGATTTCCACAATGCCTCAGGGCACTCAGGTTATAGTGGTTGAGAAGCAAATGTCAGGATGTATTCATAGAGGCTCCTCAGTGGCTTGGGAGGGAACTTCCATGTCCACAGTCAAATACACGAGCTGCACATTCAGCTTAGCTTTGTGGAAAGACAGGGAGCTCAGATGACAGGCAGATGCAGCAGGCTGTAGGCTGTGGGGTGTTCCACCAGAACGAGGAACTGGGGAGGGGTGCTCAGAGAGCCCATGTGGGGACAGCACAGTCAGGTGGAGGGCTGCGTCCAGGTCCCTTCAGGTTGGGTGGCGCTGGGAGAGGGAGCCTGGGGCCAATGGGCTCATTAGTACCTGGCTCTGACTGCAGCCTGCCTCGGCAAATACAGGCTATCAAAGCCCTGTCAGCACTCCTGAATGGGACAAAGTAAAGGCGCATTAATGATTAACTCCGCTAAAAGCTCCGGCTTTTGTATTCCCATGGTGCCTGGCCTATCTGGCTGCCATGTGACCGGCCTGGGCCATTTTCTGGCAGATTGGGGAAAGCTAGTGAGCAAACACAGGTGGTTCCAAGTCGCCAGGCGCTGTCAGGGACAACCGGGGGCAGCAGCAGCTATGCCTGGCGAAATTAGCTGCTCTGTTTGCCTCCAGTCCGGCTTCCTGGTGCTCTTACTTTCTAAGTCGAATGTCATTTTGCCTTCATTTTCCACTGTTCACAGGAGGTGCTAAGACAGGGGGGCACCCTCACGCAAAAATGGGGATGGGGCACACAGCGTCACGTTCTTTTGAACTCTGCAATAATGTTTGGTGACCAATGCAAAGGCCGGGTAAACTAATTAAAACCTCTTAGGTCTTTAACTCCCTGCAAGAACAAATTTATTCTTCTCAAAGGGAATTATTTCAGAGATCTTGGCCAAACATGCCAGCCACAGCCATGACGTCATGAGTCTGCCCGAGGGGATCTCAGCTCGGTGCTGCGTGTCGTGGGCCTGCAACACCCACCCTGGAGCCCTGCCGTGGAGCTGTGTGGCATCTGGTGAAGGCATCCTTCCAGGCCAACCCTGCCTGCTGTGGCTCCTGGTCAAGGTCCCTCCAGCGGCATGAGGTGTTTAAATGCATTTCTTCCCTGGCCTGCACCAGGCAGACTTTCCTTCTCCTGTTCAAATATTTATACGTGTGTGTATTATTGCACATGGCTTCTGCTGCTCGCGATCACACCTGTAGTCATAAAGCACAGATTATCAGCTCAAGGTGATAAAGGGCCTTTGAGTCAACACTAGAAATGAACAGAAAATGAAATAAAGTTATAAAAAGAAGAGAGCATCAGTGTCTACAGAGAGTGTATCAGTCTGCAGATATTCAGGCAATTAGCTACAATAAGACCTCTTATCCAAACTAGCAGCACTGCCAGAATGAGTGCCCGTGTTTGATATTTAAATACAGCATTCTACCTACTCCCTACACGAGGAAAAGCCAACCCCAAACTGTCTGAGGTCTTTCCACTGGCTGGGGTATAGCTCCAAGTTGGAGTCCGAGGTAGGGAGTCTCAGAGGCTGCTGCCTGGGAGGGACCCACAGCCCTGCTGCGGGCAGACCACAGAGCAGATGCCAGCAGCCCCTGGCCCGACACACTCTGGTGTGGTGGATGCTTGGTATGGAGGGGGTGGCTCTGCACATCTCCCCAAGGTCCCTGACACTTGCTTCAGGTCTCAGCAGCCAGGAGTTGCGTTTGTCCCGTGCGGATTTCTGCGCCACTGACCACGAGGTCACCCTTGGGCTGCTGCAGAGGGCACTTCTGAAGGCTTGGGTTTCCTGCAGGTGCTGACAGACAGGTGGTGACTGTGCCTGGTTAATAAGAGAACAAGCATCACGGGTGGATGAAAATCCTTTATTTATCTTCTCATTTGTATCAAATTGGAACTAAACAGCCGTGAGGACAACTGAATGTGCCCTGCAGGAGCGGTCCCACGGGGCCTGCTGAAAACGCAGCTTCTGTTCACTAATCCCCGTGTCTTTCACGCACCTATTTTGTGCTATTGAGAAAAACCAAAAGCTGGTCCTATGGAAAGGGTATATTGACAAAGCATTAGCCAGACTGACTAGAGAAGAAATAACCAGCACCATCAGCCCACGGATCCCACAAACCTTTCTGGAACACTCCACCCAGCTGCTGCAGGACTGCAGCTCTTCCAGAGTGTTCCTGGAAATTCTGCCCATATCCTGGGCCAGAAAAAGTCCAAAAAGGTCCATAAACCAAAGCCGAATAAAATGTGTTCTCTGACCATAATGCATAAAAGAAATCAATAACAGATAAAAAAAAAAAGAACCACTTGGAAACTACGCAATATGTTCTTGAATAATACATAGACCAAAGAGAAAATTCTAAGTTAAAAAATTGAACTATATTAAAAATGAAAATACAGGACAGCAGCCTTTGTGGCACACAACTAACGTGTTACTGGAGGGAAACCAATAGCTCTAAGTGTGCGCTGTAGCAAGAACAAAAGTCTCAAATCCACAGAAAAATCTCCTGTCGTGAGAACCTAGAAAAAGAGGACAAGCAAGTCTAAAGCAAGCAGAGGAAGAAAGTGATCCAGGTAAGGACAGAAACCCAGGACAGTTAAAACAGAATGCAGCAGAAAACATTGATGAAACAAGGATTGATGTTTTGAAGACAGCAACAAAATTGGCAAACCTCTAACAAGACAAAGAAGCAAAAGAACACACAAATTTCCAGGGTTGGAAATAACACAGAAGATGTCATTACAGATCATGCAGAAAACAAAAAGAAGGAAATACCGCAAGCAGTTCCAAACATAAACATGACAAATGAGATGAAAAAGACAAATTTCTCAAAAAACACAGACTATCCGAATTCACCCACTGTGAGACACTTTGAGGAGCCCTATCACTAGAAGAGAATTGCATTTATAATTTAATAACTTTCCCCCACAAGAAACTTCCAGTCCCATGTGGTCTCACTGAAGAAGGAAATCAAATGTATAAAAAGTTAACAGGAATCCCAGCAGTCTTTGGGAATACACCTTATTTTATGAAACTAGCATCATTCTGATATTAAAAACAGGTATGGTTCAAAAAAGAAAATTAAAAGCTAATATCTTTCACAAGTATAGATTAAAATTACTTAACAAAATATTAACAAATAGAAGTTAGAAATATATAAAATAATTGTTTGCAATGACCAAATGGGATTTATTTCTGAGATGCAGAGCTGGTTGAGTATTGCAAATTAATCAGTGTAATTTACTATATTGTCAGGCTAAAGAAGAAAAAGTCACATGGCCGTATAATTGATGCATGAAAATCACTTGACAAAACTCAACACTTATGCATGACAAAAACCCTCAATAGCGGGGCTGGAGGTTTAGCTCAGCGGCATAAGCACCTGCCTTGGAAGCAGGCAGTCGTGAGTTCGATCCCCGGTACCGATAAAAACGAAAAAGCCAAAAAATAAATAAATAAATAAATAAATAAATAAATAAATAAAACCCTCAATAGCTAGGCCTTGTGGCACACGTGTAATTCTAGCACTCTGGGAGGCAGAGGCAGGACTGCAAATTTGAGTCCAGCCTAGACAACTTAATGAGTTAGTGATACTGTCTTGGAGAGAGAGAGGGAAAAAGAGAGGGAAAGGGAGAGGGAGAGAGAGAGAACAAGGAAAACAAACAAAAAAAATCCTCTCAGGAAAATAATACTAGAGGCAAACAGCCCACTTGGGTAGAGACTATTCACAGAGATTTACACCTGGCTGCACCCCTTCCCCTAAGCGGAGGAGAGGGTGTTTGTCATGTCTATCATATCCAGAGGTGCTGGAAATTCTGTCTAGTGTAAGGAAGCAAGAAAGGAAAAGAAAAAGCAAACAGATCAGAAACTGGGAAATAAAGCTGCTTACCTGCAGCTGACATGATTGGCTCATTGGAAATCTCCAAGGATCTCCAGGAAGTGTCTTGGTTCATCAAAGCAGGATATAAGACAAATACACTCTATTTCTTGATGCTAGTAAAGAACACATGGACACCAAAACTAAGGTATAATGCCAGTTAGCATTACTCAAAAAAGAGGAAATGCTTAGATGTAAGTGTGCAGAGGCTTCTCTGCTGACAGCAGCATGCATGACTGGAGGGCCAGTGGAGAGCCAAGCAGGACACAGGCTCTGCTCATGGGTGGGAAGCCTCCTCAAACGCACACATGCACATAATGCAGTTCCTATCAAAATTCTAAGCAGGTTGTTTATAGTAAGAAACCAATATCACTGTAAAATTTGTATGGAAAGACAAAGGGACTAAAATATCTTAAACAATTTTGAGTTTAAAAGAATAAAAAAAAAGAGGACCATATTTATCAGACTTCGAGAATTACTCTATAACTATAGCAATCAAGATTCCTTGGAACTGGCCAAGGGTTAGGCACATAAATCACTGATTGTCACAGAATGAAGACCCTGGAAACAGAGCCACATACACGTGCTGAGTTTTAACACAGCTGTGAAGACCATCAGCGGAGAAAATGGCGCCTTTTCAACAAATGATGCTGAGGTATCAGACATCCATGGGCAAAATATGAACCTTGATCTAGGTCTCAAACCTCAGACAAAAATTAACTTGCACTGGATTATGGGCTTAGATGTAAAATGTAAAGCTATAAAACTTTTAGAAGAAAGCAGAAGATAAAATCTCGGGGATTTAGGATGAGGCAAAGACTGTTAGACTTTGATACCAAAGTCATGATCCCTAAAAGGAAAACTTGATCACAATTAACCTTTTGCATTGTGCAAGACCCTGGTAAGAGGACAGAAAGATGAGCTGCAGACAGGGGTTGGGGTGGGGTGGGGTGGGGTGGGGTGTGGTCGCAAACCTTTTCTCCAAGGGGACTGGTGTGTAGGGTACATTAGGATCTCTCCAAATTCCCCTGGCCTGCTAGGAAGTGGGGACAGAAAGACATTCCATGGAAGAGGACACACATGTTGCAAATTGAAGCACATGAAAAGATCATTAAGGATGTGACAAACCAGCATCAGAGAAACTCAAATCCTAATCACAGTGACACAGGCGAGGCTCTGGCGCTGCGGGATCCTCACTCCTTGACTTCTGGGCCACTCAGTAGTAGAGTGAGAAAGCAGTTTGGCAGCTTTTTTAAAACAAGCAAATGTGCTGCCACCATATCTCTTGTCAACTTCTCTCCTGGGCCTGCGTCTCGCAGGAGGGAGACTTCCACTCATGCAGATATCTGGTGCAGACATTCATGGCAGCCCTACTCAGATGAGCCTGGACCGTAAGCTACAGTTGTGAGACAGGTGTGTTTCACAGAATGACTTGTTCAGGAAGAATGTACATCCTCCCCCAAAATACTACACAGCCATAAAAAGGAAAAATATTGATGCATACAATAAACTGTATGAACTGCAGAGAAATACACTGAAAGGAAACCATTAAATCTCCAGTGATTACGCTGTGTGTGGTTCCATTGACATACATAACACCCCCAACTAGCAAAATTACAGGAATGGAGAACAGATTTTGGTCTGCCATGGTCTGGGAAGGGAAGTGGGGATGAAAAGAGTGGTGAGGCAAGGTTGCGGCATCCCTGCCTCCTGCCGTGACAGAGAGGCTCTCTGCTCTCTGGTCACCCCAAGGATGAGCCTCAGCCCTGCCCTCACCAGCCTGCAGCATGGTGACTGTGGTCTCCCCACAGCTCACAGCACCTGGCAGCTGGGAGCCCTCAGGGCCCCCAAGCCCAGGAAGGCCTGTGTTCCCAAGGGAGCTGCTCGGCAGAGAAAGCATAAGGAGGGAAGTGATCTGGTGGTAATCAATACAGCCAGTGATAAATGTTTATCTTGAGCAGAAAGCAAATAAAGGGTGGTTAGTGAGCCCTTTATTGCCTACCGTGGCTGCGGATCTGCCTTCAGCAGCTGTAGCCTTTGTGAGGTCAGGATGCAGAGAAGTTTAACAATTCATTGAGGACAGGTAGGAAAAGATTTTCCAGACCTAGTATTTAGCACTTATTTACTCTAAAATTGCCATGAGTGTGTGTGTGTGTGTGATTGCCTGCAGTTCCCAAGGGCCTAGTACCAAAACCTAAAGAGAAGTCCCAATCCGGTCACTTGCAGTAGAGAAAGAAGGGACAGCCTGAGGTCCAAGGCTGTAGTGACTGCCTCCTAGAAAGCTTGCCCTCTACATCCTGGGTGTCCCTTGGAAGCACACTGCCTTTCGGGTTCTGTCCCCAACTTACCGAGTGGGTGAAGGCCCCTGGCCTGGGATGCAAGAGCTCTGGAACAGTCAGGCCAAATTCCCAGATGA